AGCGAAAGTTTTTCTATTGTGCGAAATAGAATTAATTTACATACCCACTTATGCACGATGTACGCTCTTCCTTTTATTCGTACGTAGACGGTTTGATACTCCTTTTTGCTGCCCTTTTCGTCTCCCGAAATTTGTCTTCGTTCATCTCTGCAGAGTTACCCTTTAACGACGGGGTTAAATTATCATTACTAAACAGCCGATTCGAGTACTAATAGAGGAATCGGGCATTAATCGGCTGTTTACACTTGCCTCGTGAGCGTCCTTGTCAGATCCTGATCAAATTGAACGGAGCCACCGCAGCAGCAGATCATAGGGCTATGACAATCGCTATTAGCGTCGATTCAAAAAAATCGCTAAAGTAACGCCGCAAGAGACCAAACGAGGGCTAAAATACCCGTGATATATTAATGGCGAACATATCGGCAGTGACGAGTATACCCAAGGTCCCCCAAGCATCGCCGCTACAGTTACCACCTTGTAGGGGTAGCAATCAGACGAGACGTTGAAGAGGAAAGGTGTGTAATTTCCGACGAATGCAAGCTAGTTTTGAAAGTCACTTTTTGGCACACATGCCGCGAGCTTCTAAAAACGGTTTCGCGATGAATTTGATGGCTGTCTGCTGCAGCAGCACTTTTACCTCGAACTGATAGACAGGGACAATAGTAACGATGGCGCAGTCGTTGTGCTCGTGCTTATTTATTGGACCGGTTCGAAGCTCGTTCCCGTTCACTTGCTACCGAAAGGTCTGCTCTGGCGACTGCTATCTGCTCAGTAGGTCGAGGCGCTGCCCGAGTCCACCGCACTGCTGTTCCAGATCATCTTTCGGAGCAGTACATGCTTGCCATCTGTGGGTAGGTATCGTGAAGCAAGCGTCTGGCAGGGCGACACGGGGACGTAATTTGGAAGGCACTTACACCACTTGCTCCGGATGTTTTTACCATTATAGAAAAATGCCCCAGAAAAGGGCCTTGTCGATGTTCCGCCTCGTTAGATTTGTGTAAAATATGATTTTAGTAGCACTTTTCTTTTCGCTGTGTAGCCATACGATATTGTCGCTACCCTTTAATTCATTAGCTACACGGAATATTTTTCTCTTCCGTTCCCCTCGAAGTTGACGGTTTCTCTGGCAGCGTTTTAGTACGCTGATCACCAGCGTTCCTTCCGAGCCTTTGTAGATAAGAGAGTGGAGCTGAGTGGCGAGGAGGGTTCAATATCGAGCGCGATAGTTTGCTCCAAGCGTATCGATATGAATTTATTATTCTAGGAAGAAACAGCGACGGACGCCAGCGAGCAAAGAAGAATTATGACCTTATATGAACGTTGTTCATTATCTAATATGTTTAGCAAGTGTCCTTGCCTCTGGTCTATACGATTCGTCTGTTACTCGAAGTACACACACCCACATATGTTAATCCTAAGAGAACTCAGCCAGTCTGCACATAGTATACCACTTACCTTATAAGAGCGTTTTCTCTAAACACGCTACCTTTAATTGTTGGCGTCTGTATCAGGCTGAGCTATTGTAATTGACTACAATAAGTTTGTGTAGGAAACGCAATATCTTGCCATGTGGTGGCTTTTTCGTCTGGCCGCATTTGTGGGTGTTCACTGAGCGTACCTCCCGCCACTAAGTCAACGATTGGCCCATCTTTGACTGATCCTGTCACTACTTGTAACTGATTGTGTTATTTTTGTTGGGCCATCTTCCCTTCGCTGAACGCTTAGTCCCGTTCCTCGTACGTGCCCCGCTTGATGCCTTTCTGTGTTTGGAATATGGACAGTGCTGGCACTACTATGTCTTTCTCGTAGAACCAAGATGATAGAGACGGCCGTCAGCGTTGACGCGACATATCTAAAGGGCCTTGTCCCTACGAAACAGGGTTTTGGGTTTACAAGATGGCGGGATCAGTTATACTGGGGGGGGGGGGGGGTCTGCATGGCCCAAATTCCCGGGGACTTTCCGGGCAACGCACGTAAGTCTTCTTAGAGAGGTATAGCTAGCCATGGCTTGCTTTGGCTGACAGCGTTCGCTGAGCCGGCCTTGCCCGACCTCAAGCGGTAGACCCTAAACTACCAGCAGCTTTTTTCGACCTGCGTTAAGCCTCACACTGTACTGCAGCCAACTCACCGCCAGCCGCAACAGATACCACGATGATATATGGGAGAAATTGCAATCCAATTTTGCGTTCTTTCCCTCCTTCTTTGTCTCGGCCAGTGCCTTCGATACGTGCACCGTTAAGCTGCTGCTCTAGCTTTGCTTACTCCAAACCAACACGCTCGGAAATACTTCCTTCTCCCATCAAAGTGTTGACTTGGCAGACAGTGACTTTGGCTCCATTTGCCTGAACAGGAAAATACATAAGTTACACGTGGCCTTTATATATATACATATATATATATACAGAGCAAAGAATGTCGCATTTCATTGCGGACAGCGGGACTCAGCGAAGCAGCTTAGATCGTCTTAGAAATCGCACTCTGCCGAGAAAACGACTTGCGCTGCATAGCAAATACTCAAAGCGATACGGATTCCGTAAATGCGCAACCATGTACAATCTACAAAGTGGGCCTGGGATATTCGCGGAGCGTAGATATATTCAAAAAGAAGGCACAGCTTTTTTCAGCCCCGAAAACAGTGTCATAGGGCAGGGCTGTTTCAACGAAAAGGTTGGACTCGCGTAAATACCCGTGTCTTCTTGTCAACATACCATAATATTCATTATGTTCAGTCGAAAACGCGTGTCGAAAAGCTACATTTTTTTAAATAAAGAACATGTTTAACCTCGAGCATTGTTTACCTCTTTTGATCTGCCTCCATTCGCTGGAAACTGTTATTTAAACAAATGCATAGGATAATACAAACGTTGCCACCAACGAATAGAATGCTTGAGTTGTCATGAGTTCACCACTATCACGAATGGGAAGGGCCAAAGTGAGGAGCAAATTAAGGCAAAACAACAGTTGCAATTAGTGTTATGCTATTTGTGCTTAATTGTCGTTGACTTTTGCCCAACAACCTACGAAGCGCCAACAGATGTCCGCCTCTTGCCACATGCATGCAGGGTGAAGTTTCATAATTTTCTGATGTAACACTTCGGTTTCGAGTACGTCGCGAACTTCGCGCTTCAGTGCTGGCTTGGTTGTCAATTGTAAGCTAAGCTTGTCAATTAAGAGAAACGTATGCATCTTCATAACTTTAAGTAACTGAATTACGTGAATACGACAAAGTAAATCGCCAAAGTTTCACTTCTGCTAGAGGGCTAGAAGCTAGCATGATGTGATGGCAAGCATCAATATCATGTGGGCCATCTCCAAGGTATCATTCTCCTTATATTCAATTCTTTCAAACCCTAAGCGTGGGCCATCGGATGTTATCCTGCCCTTTCGAAATTATTCGAACCCCCTGAGCGATGCGTTTGATTCGAAATTTGCCGATAAATATCAGAGGCAATTGCACGATTGCTACAGCGCCTACGAGAAGCAAAGTTCTGTGAAATATTTATCCCTGGATTCAACGGTTTTTGCCACAAACATTCGCCAAGTACCAGATCCTCTTAATATTATCCCTTTGCTTATTTATCAAATTCGGGCCAAAAAGAAGTCGTCCTCGAAAAGTAGAGCAAAACGAAGAGATGTGGTGAAGAAAAAGTAACCTCTTTATTTGCTTAGTTCGTCGATGGGGAATCTATGCTATAGAGCCAAATACCAAGATACACTAGAGTAACCGAGATCGTTCTTTTGGTTGACTAAACATCTAGTAAGATTTGCGCTATTTTTTAATGTCACAACAACTGATCGTTCCTTAACTGTTCCTCTATGTATTGGGATACGATTCAAGTTATTATTATTATACATTATATCCTATTAATATTCGAAACAAAAAGGACTACCAGTGTGACTTGACATTGTATGCTTGATGCTGAAACGTCGCACTGGACTTTCGCAATATGGCCGCAATCGACAACTACGAATTCATGTTTAATTGCGAGCTATAATCTATATACAGGGTTTGTGTTGTCTAATTCAGCAAAACCTAAACCATACTATCAACAAAGTCGATTATGTGAGCAGTCAGCTTTGCAATTAAGAAGCACAGAGGAGGACTGAATACGGTAAGGTGGTTCGTGTGGGCCACTGAACAACACCCCAAGGATTATAAAAATGACCTATTTTTCGTTCCGCCTGCATACTAACAGTATCAATACGCTCAATGACCACGCCCCACATTTCCGGGTCGAAAAGATATTTGAATTTGTTTATTTCTTTAGAGTACGCATTTCGTTAGCGTTCATTTCTGGGTCTTGAAAAATGTCTAAACGTAAAAAACAGGTTGTTATGATCGTTGAAAATAGTGCAAACTGCACTGCGGCAAAAATCGTTAAATACTGTTCTATCGTAGTCTCTCTTGACAAAATAAAGGTCACTTGAGCTATTCGGTAGGCCTGGAGAACCTGAAGGGGCAACTGTGGTATAACCAAAATATATTTATATACACTGGCGATCGTAACGATCAACTCGAATAGCGTGCAGAATTGCGACATTTGTTTCGAAACAACGTAATCAATATATTTAACGGATTCGTATGAGGAGGCGTGTTACTTGAACGGCATTACTGTTAGGGTCACCTTAATATAATATTATCCGTTCGAAAGGATTCGAGGAATTTCGGTGTGCGGATCTGCCAGCTACGCGCAATTCGAAATTCAGCATCGGCCACCTCATAATAACCTTAGTAAACGGGTGAGATGAGGGGCTAAAACGTTGTATAATTAACTCAGGGCTGGTAACTGTATTATATATAGATCGCTGATTAGCTAAGGAAGCTGTGATGAAGCAGCTATCGGGTTTATGGTGGGCTAGTTTTCAAAATTAATTTTTTTTACTCCCAACGGTTTCCACAGTCTAATATATCTATAAATAATTACCCTATTATGATTACTGTTCTTTGATCGTTACGCTATGCAAACGTATTGATTACTCAATGAGCATTGAATCATTACCGATTTTTGTTGTCTTCATTTCGTGATTGTTCTGTATCGTTTTCAGTCGAGCCAACATGAGACGCTACTCGGCCGCAGCTGTTTGCGGTGCCGGACTCCCTAATCAGGCGTCCTCCTTCCTTCAGCAAGTGGGCTCAGGAGTTTCCTCGTTATTTTCCAGCAAATAAACGCCACTTCCACCACTGCTATGATCCATAGTAATAGTAAGATTCACTTCAGGAAGGCAGAAAACGAATTATACGTGGTCTTGGCGCTAATCACAAACCGACACAACAGAGAAGGCAGTAGGACTAACTAAATGAATAGATAATTGAGTGCCTACCAAGCAAAGAGTTCACCAGATGGCCAGGAAAAGTAGAAAAAGTTCTGCGCAACTACACCTCACAAATCGTCCGCCATGTCAAGCATTAGTACCCAAACCTTGCCGCTTATTACCAAACAACTAATGGACCGACAAGTTACCAACATATCAACGTATCGCTAACTAATCGCTGCCCGCTAAAAAAGCTTGCGCACGAAACCAGCAGTCATCTTCGACGGGTATCGTGGAAACGAGTCAGTTTGAAAATGCGCGGTCATGAATTGGCATACGCGATGATAGACTGATGTTGATAATAGTTAAACTCCACTTCAAAATGGAAATATTTGTTGTACCGGTTCTAGACATCATTGTGCAATCGAATAATCTGATAGAAACGACCAGACGGCGGGAAGACTATGCGGCAACTATGTTATGCGGAAAAAATAACGTCTAAACTAACTTAATCTATTCTTCTTAAGTTTCCGACAAGAAAATCGTCTAATAGACAATATGATGCGTGATAGGCTGATGATTAGTGGATGTTCCTTTCGTCAATTGAAGATGGCTACGATACTTCATCCTGTGCAGTGCTATCTCTTCGTCTAAAAACCAACCGCGTACGCCGTGGTCTCCTGTGTCAAAATCGAACTCCCCAAAAACAAATCTCAAATAGAAAAAACACGGGACGATTGAAAAAAAAAAACTAACAACTCGATTCCTCGCTACGCAAACGTCAAATCAAGGGCAACTAGTAACGCGCGACATCTTATCTTCTGTCGTATCGAAATTAATTTGCCAATAATTTCGCTGCTTTTCTACCGTTTCGAACCTCTTTGCCGCATCCATTTCTACTGGCGAAATCGGCAGCCTGGTGGTAACGTTGCAACCAGTTTTGTCATGGATCGAAATCGTCGAACGATGAACAAAGCAATCGACGGAATTCGTTGGTCCTTGCCCATTTGTTGACCCGCGTAACAGAGTGGTTCACGTAACTACTCGTTACTTTGCGCTAGACCCATATTGCAAAGCCTTGGCAGACCCTTCTTCTGTTGCAACTCTTTCTCCAAACTTTGCGTCACAACCAAAAGCCGCGTTAGCAGTACAACAAATCGCAGTGACGCGTTTTATGTCTACAAATGCCGCATACATCGCAGTGTTAAACCGGTATCATTTCGTGCTGTGGCCTCAGCAGGACTCATCGAATCCGACGAACCACTGACGTCTTCTACGACTGACACCTTTTACTTATTCATTTATTCATGCGCTGCTACAACGCTGCACAACGTCCCAATTGGAGGAACACGAGGGATCGTTATCGAACTCAAGGGTACGTCCTATTTTCACTTAGTTGTCCACCGTGCTAATAACTCGTACGATATTAACAACTCGTAAGATGTATTGTAGGGTTTCTAGTGTTTCATCTTATAACAAGCATATTTAAATTCTGTGCGGTATAAATACTGTTAGCTACAAGCGAATCCGGCAGACTTTGCCGGATTTGAAATGCAATCATTTTCGAAGTACACACCGCCATAAGACAATATTTGGCTGTTAAATCCTCCAGTCTTTTCGAAGCTTGCCATAAACCAGTTGAGTTTACTCCAGGAGACATGAGTTTAGAAGGAAGAAGGCCTTTTAGTCTCAAAAATTAACGCTCAGTGATTAAATTCTTGCTTCTTGAAGACCACAGTGCTGCATAACGAAGACTAGTGAAGACATTAGGGAGAAAGGCCTTAAGCGAAAGCACCGTACGTGAATAATGCAAACGTTACAAGAACAGAGATTAGAGTGTTGAAAACCGGCGAAGGTATATCGAGACCCGAAAGGCAAACATGCATCGCCGTAATCGAGGGAGCTTTTCATGAAAACAGAGCTTTGAGTTTAAGGACTCCGTCGATCAAAGCTGTCGTGTCACAGAATTAAGACTCAAATACTGTAAACCGGTAACCTCCGTGAATTGACTCCAGGTTCATTGAAAGTCCTTACGAGCAACTTGCAGAACTTTAATCGACATTAAAACGTGCCTGGAACACGCGGACGAGGCATGGTTCAATCTTTACCGCCAGCTGAAGACGGTCAAGGCAAGAAAATGTCGTTACCCTCTACGAAAATGTAGCTGCAATGGACTTCAGGCAATCTGCTGCTATGAGATATTTGGCGAAAATGAAACAAGGAAGGCAGTTAGCCATCTCGACTTCCTCAAGAGATTCATGAACCGTTAGTACGGCGATCAAAAGCACCTAGTCTGGTTACTTGGTGACAATGCTAGGCCTCATTGTCAGGTCTCAATTACTTCCTAGATCGAGTAAAAAATATATCCAATGTTAGCTTTAGTTCTTCTTATTCCTAAGTCTGTTTGATTACTGAGCTTCCTATGTTCTAAAAAGGGTGATTGGTGGACAATTATACCCATTGTCGATTTACTTCGAGCAGCCATAGATAGAGAAATAGCACATGTGATATATATAAGGAATTATCCAGATACTATTAGAGCACTGGCGCGGGTCTGCAAAGATATGAGAGAGCAGTTTTAACACTTATTAAAACTCATAATTAGCCCAACTAGTTTAAAAGATATTTAATTTTAAAATCTGCCGCCTGTAATAGCTCAAAATAACGCTTGAATATTTGCAGTGATTCCTTTACTGGTTATTTTTACTGCTCTTTTTCATACTGTCAAAAAATTCATTCTCTAGCAATCTCTTTCTGCGAAGCCCGAATCCCCCTACGTGATCTGCATAATGTCAACCGCACAGATTAGCCGCTTCACTTAATTACGAGAGAAGAACTTAGGTAGTGAGGATTAGACATCATTAGCGCCCTTCTTCTTTCAAATTGTTCTCCCCATTCAACTATCCCTAAGCTTTAATGCATTATCTTAATTAACCCTAATTTTGTTTTTTGCTTTTGGTTGTATTAACTAAAATAAGAATCCTTTTTTTTCGCTCCCAAGGCACATGGAGAGCTCGTAAGTTGCGCTACCTTCTATCGGCTTTCTTAGCAGTACTATTTCGTTCCGCGAACAAACACCAACATTAGCCTTTCGAAGGCCATTTCCGATTGGTCGTCTAAGGTCATCGTCCGGCTGGTATTGATATGTACGGGCACAATAACAGCACAACTAGTGTGCATCAGGACTAGCTAACGACTTCTTAGCTATCACGAATACTCATTTTGGCTTCCAGCCTCAGTGTTTTCTTCCACGTTGACTACGCTTCCTCGTTTCAATTCCTTAAACCGTCTCAGGAACGGTAAGGCCGGCGCAACATGCGAGCCCTAATATAGAAACTAGCGAATGGCGTGTGCACAAAGTCCCTTTTCTATGGACCGGCAGTTGCGTAACGGCGGCTGAATACGCTTCGATTGCTTGTTGTGAAGCGGCAGTATATTGCAATATGCTTCACGGCGATGGCGCGATGCTGCACGTTGTAGCAATGATAATGCAGAATGATAACGAATCAGTTCCACGCCCCTTGGTCCGCCTGCGGGATTCAGGCGATAGTTGCTTGCGATGTTCTAAATCCTAGTCGCAGCTCCACTAAACGTGTTTATTTCCATTAGCGGCCGTTGCAGCAGTCGCGTTCCGGCATAGGAGATAGAATGGCGCGACAAGGATGCTTGGAGGTAGATTCCCTCGATTCCAAGCTCTGCCGCCACTACCGCCAGCTCTGTCCGCCGCTGGTTCTCGTCCAACTATCGATTCATCGAGCATCGGAGCCCCAGCCCTGTATTCTTCTCTTTCTCCGAATTTCCCCAAAAGTCCGGTCTTCGGGTCTTGCGGGCCATGTTTCACATCTATAATCTGTTTTTCCTGGCATTGTTGGCTTCTTTAGTTCACGCATCCGTTCTCATTTCCAATACTGAGGCTCTATTGAAGCGACAGACGGTTGCTTCAACCTCCTGCTGTCCTCGCCATAGTCATCATACACATCGGCCGCGCCTTCGCTAAGGCTCCTCTCATTTACTCTCGACGTCCTCTTTTACCCTTAGTTAGCCTCACGGCCCTCTAAAGCGCCCCTATTTTATCATTCATCCTCCATCCACAAGCCATTTGCTACTTTGGCGAACGGACCCCGCTTCAGTGATTCCCTTGCCACCGCCGCCTTCACGCCGTTCACTTAGAGGACTGCAATAACAGTAGCAGTCATCGTTGCGGTTAAATGTGCAGAAACAATGATAGCCTTTTCACAGAAGTGCTAGCTCGTTAGCAACTTCTTTAAATCTCGGCTTTCTTGAGCTACGATGGTGCCGCGGCCGTACTGTGCTGCCTCGGATAGCAGCGGCAGCAGCGCAAAGCGACAAAATCAAGAAATAGAAACGCAGAAATGTCAGATTGGACGATCACAGAAGTGGAGAGGCTTTAGTGAACAAGTGCTTTTAGTTAGGCACAACTGGAGAGTGCGATGAAGTAAAGTGGGAAGCACCGTTACGGCTTGCAGTAAAAAGATGACAATTACTGGGCCAACGGCTGGAGGATGGTTAGCCGACCGACCAAATTGGGTGGATTAATTTTGATTTACCACAGCAGCAGCAGGGTACGTTACGGTAAGAACGGCAATGCTACCATTACTAGCAATGGTAACGAGCGCGGCAGGGGCCACGAAAGATCTTTACGATGCTGAAAGCTGTTTAACTACCGCCAGTGACAGAGGAAGCGAGGCACTTTGCTATTATGGAGACCGTTGTCAGCATCGCCATGGTCACCATAATCAAGATCAGGATCATTCTCGTCAGCCTAACCGTCGTGGCACAGCCACTAGAGGAAAATGACTTTTGTCCTTCTCAGTTAAGGTTGATTGCGCTACTGCGATCCTTGATTCCTACCTGCTGCCAAAGACCTGAGATACGATGAACGCAAAAACGGTAGAAAACTTCTAGGAGACTTCTTAGCCTTTTGCCTTGTGCATCTCCGACAGAAGGCCACTTATCGTCACATCAGACCCATTGTAGTCACGTCTATCGGCTTGTTTTCCAGTAACATTCGAGCAGCTCTTAGTCCTCGCTGCTGCTGTTTCTTTACCCATGTACTTTTCCAATGCTGCTACGCAGCGAAGTCCACGAATCCAACGTTGGGATGTTTCACCCTCACTTCCTCTGGCCCGCATCTCATCGAGTGCCGACATGTCTGCTAAGGCTCGTAGTAGGTCTTTTTTTCGCCGATTCGTCCTCAAAAAACTTCAACGCCTTAGCACTCGACCCTACCGAGGCTCACGCTCTCCTGAACCTAGTCTCTGCTTCCTCATCCGTGTGGTGATTGGTTGCCGCCAGTGCTACTGTTGCTGTGCTATTGTGATACTGCGGCAATCTTTCCGAATGTGAACGACTTTAAAATAGTCAGGTCTGCTAGTTTGCGTGAGTACTACAGCTAAGTAGAAGTAACGTAAGGTCGGACTGAACGTTATATGGCATTGTCGAAACTAAACATTGCCATCTACTGCGATATTGTGTGTAGTTAACGTGCCCTATCTTTCGATAAGGATTCACTCTGCTAGGAGCTCTCTATCTTTGTTTAGCTCTCTTTTTTGTTGGTTTCCCGCTGGTCCTTGCCATGTGTGTGGTCTGTGATCTCGCCACTTGGCAGCCTTCTATTGGCCCCCACCGAAAGCCCTTTTTTCTCTCTTCACCTTTTTTCATTTATTGGCTGTATCGTTTTCGCAGGCAACTCGCAGTCTTTGTCACGACAGCGGCATCGATACCAATATCGACGACAGCATCTATGCATGCTTCTACTTCTAGTGCAACCATTACTACTTCACGATGACTACAACTGCGGTGCCGCGAGACGCAGGGACGGCCGGAGCGGTATACGCAGCAACAAATCGTACCCGAGAGGAACAATAATCAAATAGTGGCATTGAATCTCGCGAGTTGCCGACCAAGACGACAACAACAACTCGTCGTACACAACGTTGAGGGCTACTACGATGGTAATAACAACAAAACAAGCTCTATCGCTGTATAAAACTGTACCAAGACGCAAGCGGGACGTAAGCGAATGACCCGAAACCAATCGAACTATTTACAGTAAAACGATCTGCAAAAGCAATTGATCAGGTACGAAATGCATACGAACTCACTGGACTCGATAGCTGAAGCACAATCGTCCTAGGACAAATAGGAGCTTGTCGATGCACAGTAATGGATAGCACAAATCATTAATAGCAATCGTCTTGATTAAATGATAGACACAACATAAGTGGTCCGTGTTATTTTATGTCCCATAGTTACTTTCTATATGTTTTAAAGAAACTGACGTTGTAGATCGCTAAGACAGAATAGCTAGTGATTAACTGTGGGGCCGTGATCAATCGGAAGTGCCCAATTACCAATTTCGAAAATACGAAACGATCCTCCTGAAGCACTCCGGAACAGCCTTCACGAGCTTCACACAAAAAAAACAGCAGCAATCGAGCTAACAACTAATCAGCCAACAGGCGGTTGCCAGCTCGCCTCTGCCGGTGAGGGCAATTACAGCCTACGACAACAGTAGCATGACTGACCTTCCGACCGCACCGACACGCTGTTCTAGGTCCACCTTGAAAATATTTACAGACCACTGATGATATCGATGTAAAAGTAGTATATTTCATGCTGGGATCAAGGCTTCTTTACCAGTGCGTATGTGACTATGGAAATTAGGCAAGGATTGAAAAATACAACTGGAACATTGCTCCGAATTGGGCTGCCGTTTTCAGCATTTGTCTGCCATTGATATACCGACTACATATCAGCAGTTTGTCAATACGCTGCGGACCGTGTATAATGTCATTGGATATAGCTGGTCCTTGCAAAAATCGGGCAGGCCATGGACGCTAAAAATGAATCGCTTAATACGACAATTGAACGATATTCAAACAAGTCGAACTCTTGTCATTACGATATAGCACGATATAGTATTATTACTAACAGGCGTTGAGTACATTGCGAAAACAGCACTGCGTTAAAAACGAAAACAAAATAGCATAATTTAGAACAGATTATACATGTAAATTCCGCTGGTAACCAATGACATAATAACACAAATACTGCTATTTATATAGACAATATTTAGCGATAATTAGTGCTATCGAAGGAATCATTACTAGAATATTTGTTGTTGACGACCACAAGTAGCTGATTTCGAAAATATGCGAGCAAAATGAGAAGAATGTACATTCAGACTCCCCGAACCGAACGATCTCTGTGGACCAGGTCAGGTTGAGGCGGTGTATTGATGTCTCGGACATCGGACTTCACAATGGTTGAGGTTTTGCTAGCCAAGCGAAACTTCTGTCGCTGGAACCAATAGCAACTACAGTCATAGAGGCAGGGAGAAAAAGATTCCTCTCTAAAGCACCGCCGAAGGTGTTTCCACCGTTTCTCATAGAACCACTAGCGGTCTTGTCAAAGGCGGCATATAACCGATCAGGTCGTTCGGAGGATTAACACATTTACTAGAATTCTATTTGTGCTCTTACTAATAGTACACACTCATAAGCATTATACTTGTTACTTGGTCTGACTTCTTCTTATCCTGGCCATCTATCTGAGAACGATTCAACGTAACACTTCGTAATTGGCATATAACGTAGTAATAATATTTTTCCGACAATTCCCCCGAACGTAATCATTCAAGAAAAATAAAAAAATGTTACGCAACTTAGCTTTATAATTCTTAACTTACTAAAAAAAAAATGCAACCAATTGAAACAATACAAAACGATCCACTAATCGGTTACCCAAAAAGAACGATCAGGATCAGTCACTATGAAATGGAAAAACGAGATAGCATAAGGAAAACTTTAGCTCGATGTTACATTGGTATCAACAATAGCAGTAATCAGAAGATTTTCAGAAGAGAAAGCTACTGGCCAGGCAGAGCAACCATACGAGTAGAAACTAAGCTCGGATCAGCTGAATATTTCACAGACAGCAGACTAAACAAAACACAAACGAATAACAAAAACAGCTATTTATTAAAATTCTAGCAATATTATACATAATGAAGCATAGCTGGCTAGATCTATTTAAGAGTTGTTGTTTCTCTATCGATGTGTGAGAACAGTCAGGATCACTTCCATTCACCGTATTATTAGCCTATTATTACCAACAAAAGAAACCATGAGAGTAATGACAGGCTTTCGTTATAGCTATTGTTACAGCAATATAGCAAGCATTACCATTGATAACAATAATAACGTCACTAAGCAATGTATAACAAAGCCAGTGAAACGAAGACAACATACACACTCTGTACAAAGCAGCAAAGGTGAGTACAATAATGACAATACAAGATACACAATTCCATCAAGTGATAAACGTAATAACAATAACAAAAACGAACGGAATATTAGTAGGGTTGATACTGATGATCAAATCATCGCCCGAACAGAGAGCAGGAAAAAGTATTTGTTGCTGGACTTCGAGGTAGAGGATGACAAACTGAAAAATGAAGTTCACAATGTTAAAACACAATGTGTTCGCAACAGAGAAGCCCGGAAAACAACAAACAATCATGTCACCAGCCAAATTAACAATTGCATAAACTTGAATATGATCAACGGCAATTGTATTAGCACGGTCAGTAGGATCAAAAGAGGGACACAATCAACAATCAAAGCAGTTGTAACTTAAGGCTGCGTCAAATAAACTTAACAACATTAATTAATGTCCGAGCCACTGATCACGGTTCAGAATGACATCACAGCTAGATATCATGCCTTAGCTGAACAGTTCTTTGAACGCTTCGAAAATACTTACATTTCCCTACTACACTTCACCAAAGCGACCTCAGTAGGCAGGTGTGAAGAAACCTACTGATAATGTGTCCGTTGATCTGACTGCTCTGCGGGTGACATCATGTCGTCTTAAGCCTGCAATACGAGATACAATGCTAATATACATGTATCTATAGAAGATCGCCACTTCTGGTAAAGTTATAATGATTGAAGTTGACAGACGAGTTCACTTTTCTCCTCGTCCTATCCAACTTTAAGTATTTGAGCAGACACAACAAGGATAATGACAACAAAACGAAATAAGACATAGAAATATCATGTTTACGTATTGGCGTCGTAGTCCATAATAAGACAAGACCGAACGCAGAAACAGCAGGAAAATCCAGCAGTGCTACGTACTGCCAATTGTAGCACATTCACCAAACGGTCACTGCAAGTGTAGTTGTCGTAATGTGCACTCGAGCCTACCACCCAAAGCTTGACTCTCGTAGGGAGTATAAAAAGAAGATACGCGCAAAGGTTTTAGCAATACAATTGTATTGGAAAGGGACAAGCAAATACAATGATAATACAAAAAAGACCAAAAAAGCTGAAAGGCTTGTTTTCAGACGGGCCTGCTCCACGTGGTGTTGTATTAGACTACGCCAAATCGAATACCACTTTATGTATCAGACAAAGAAGAAGCGCAGCTAAACATGCGAAAACTTTTGTTTGGGACAAACAGCAGGGCCTTGTCTCAGGCCAGTATGGCAAACGCATTATTAGCACTCCCTATAAGAAAGAATGCTAGTAAAAGCTAAGAAAAAAACATAATTGAAAAACGAATTTGATCGGCGAATTACGTTTTTATACGACGGATGCCACCAAGAGTACGGCTGTATGTTATGGAAGTAGTAGCATGGCGACCGCTATTATTTATTATGATGATGGTGGATGTGTGTTCGGTCACCGCTAAGATGGCAAGCAGCAATTCGCGCGTACGCTGTATGTATATATATATATATATATAGTAACGATCATTCGCGAGTTCCGTCGACAACGCCATTCAAGAATATATGAAGATGCAGATTTAGCTATGGATATCAACGTTAAATCATAGAATAACGAGTGGACTACATGCGGGGCTATGTGCACCCCCGTGGAAAGCCATAAGGCATTTTGACGCGCAGAAAACAATACACAGACACAGTAATAATCAATGAGGAGAAACATTTCAGATAACTCGGTAAATCTTATAGACAAACGAACGTATCTACTACGGGCAAAATAGTAAAGAAAAAAATTATGATATTGATTGTGGCCCATGCATGCCATAGGAATATCCTAGGGTTTAAAGGTTTGCACACACAATACAGTTATCAATCAGGGCGAAACACGATGGCTATTACGACAAATGGGAGCAAACAAACTATATATATATATATATATTAGAACACAAATTGAAACACTACTTAAACCACCTGCTTTAGATAAGATACTCTGCGAATGGCGGCCATTGTAAATAATCAGGTGTATATAGAGTTGCTTGCGTAGGACGCGTTGCTGATATATAAACTGATGAAACTTAATGTTGGAGATGATAAGGGGACAGCGGATAATAAGCACGAAAAATAGTGGCGGTGATTAGTGGACAACACTACCTATTAATTATAT